GAAGATTGTATATCTTCAAAGAGGCTCTCGATGTTTTTGGATCTGAGAAGTTGAAGCCCAGAGCAACATGGACTCCAACAATATCTCCCGCGCCCCTTCTTTCTGATGTCATTATTCTAATCAAATTACATCCCAGTTGCCTCGCCCACACACTCGATCCACTCACTCACTCACCTCCCCTTTCCTCTCAACAAAGCAACAAACAAATATTCATCAACGACTTCAGAATCTCAGATCTAAAATGTACCACCCTCTTTACTTTTCTCATTTCTTTTTCTCTTGGATTCCCCGCATTTAACCCCACACACACTGACACACACACTTCTGCGTTTGTATCACAGCTTCAGTTGCGTGTTTCTTCCGTTTCCTTTTCAGTTAGTTAGCAGTCCCAATTCCAATTCAATGGCTTCTGACAGCAACAATAGCAACAGTAGCCACCATAAATCTCTCTCATCAAGAAACCAACAGCAACAACTCGTCTCCGCAATGATCAAGCAAGGCTTCATTTCCGACCCCTTTCTCTCTCCTTCTCGTCCCAACTCTCTCTCCCCTCCCGCCAACTTCCGGGCCCTCGCCTCCCCGAATCAGAGCCCGACCCTCTTCGATATGATGTCCATGGAGCAGGCCCGCCAGCCCAAACCCGCCTCCGAAGCCCACAAGAAACTCCAAGAAAGCGTTTCCCTTATCCTGTCAGAAGCCCCATTTCAGAACAGCGGTCAGTGGGGGGTGGGTGACGTCAGGCTGACGATAGCAGCGAGAGCGGTCGCGGGAGAAGGGGATACGGGGCAATTCCGGGTGTCGATGGAGGTTCACAGGAGTGTGCTGGCCGCGAAAAGCAGATTCTTCGCTGAGAAACTACGGAGGAGCGGTACCCACTCGGTCGAGATTCTTGATTGCGATGACGTGGCGGTCTATGTGAAGGCCGTGGTGCTCATGTACTGTGATGAATTGAAGGCCAAGCTCATGGGTGCGGAGGTCCCCAAGATTTTGACCCTCTTGAAGGTTTTTCTGTTTACTTGTCTCTACTCTCTGTTTTCTTTAGTTTTGTGGTTTTGCCTTTTGTTTTGGGGACTCTTTTGTTTCTGGCAAATTGGTTGGGTTATGTGGGTTCGTCATGAATTTTTACTTTGTCAATTCATTGTCTCATTTTCTGCGGTTGTATGTGCATTTGCGAAGGAATTAAATTCTCTATTTAAATTCTCAGTTGGACTCAAAATTAGTAAAGTGGAATTCTAACATTGTATTTATTCTTGTATTTCATTTATTTTTCTTAATTTTTTTGGAGCCTTCTTGTTTCTTCTTGTTTGGTGGTACGATCATGGTGGGTTTGGAGACTAAGTTATGAATTGTGAAGTATGCTGGTTCACTACGAATTGTTCAAGATTTTTGAAGATTGTAATTTGTTATTTTCTTTGAGCTGCTTGAGTTTTGGTTTACTCATGTCTTCAAACCGTGAAATAATTCTCGAGGTTATAGACAATTTAGGAGAATCTTAATATAAATTCTTCCTGAAGTATATAATTCCAAAAATTTGTATGAAAAACTTTTCTCTAATGACATATAGTTGCATTCCTCTTGCAGTCTGACAGTTACCTTTGTACAACATAAAATAATATCATGCTCTTGAATTCCTAGAAAAATCATAACTCATTCAATCACTTTTATGTAGTTGTATACATATGCCTTTAGCAAGAAAACTAATATAACCTTAACTCTCACTGGCGTTTCCAATAGCTAAAAGCATATAATTCTCACATGCAGATATCATCTGACATTATGTTTGATGACGGGGTACGAGCTTGTTTGGACTACCTAGAAGCCGTGCCTTGGTCTGAGGACGATGAAGAAAGTGTGATTTTTCATCTGAACCAACTGCAGCTCGACACCTCGAAAACAGATGTCGTTCTCCAAAGAGTGATACCCGACCCATCCACATCCCCAAGAGCAGATGAGGTATTTCTAAAGCTATCCATGAGCATATTGCAAGCCAAAGACGAAAAAGCCCGTCGAGAAATCAAGTCATTAATATCTCGTTTGCTCAGAGAAGATCGCGATAACAATAACGAAAACAGCAATAATAAGCTCGATATCTCCAAGGACACACTTTACCAACTTTGCCACAGGTGCCTTGGCTCCCTAATCCTATACTTATCTGGCGCCACGTCATTGGACGACGAAAGCGGGCCAGCCCGCGGGGCCCTAATGGGCGAGATAGCCCGTGAGGCTGACAACATGCAATGGATAGTGGGGATTTTGGTAGAAATGAAAATGGGGGATGAGTTCGTGCAGTTGTGGGCCGACCAAAAGGAACTCGCTGTCCTTCATTCGAAAATCCCGACAATGTACCGACATGAAATTAGCAAAATCACTGCCCAATTGTGTGTGTGTATTGGTAAAGGGCAAGTCTTGGTTCCTACAGAGAGTCGGCTCGATTTGCTGTCCACTTGGCTGGAGGCTCTTTATGATGATTTTGGGTGGATGAGAATGAGGGGAAGGTCGGTGGATAGGAAATTGATTGAGGATGGATTGGGCAGGACAATTTTGACCCTGCCTTTGGACAAACAGCAACAGATTCTGATTAAGTGGTTTGATAGATTTCTTAATGGAGGGGACGACTGCCCGAATATTCAGAGTGCATTTGAGATTTGGTGGAAAAGGGCTTTCTTGAGGGGCTGTGTGGTTGACTCGGGATTGCAGATGACAGTGTGTGATGTCCCGCATTGAATAGGTAAGTGGGTTATTGTTTGTGTCATCCTATTCAAGTGCACTTTTGTGAATAAAGGTATATTCCATTCAACCCTGTTCATTATTATTTTTCTCTGTTTTTTTGGGTGCAAGTGAGATTATCCATCTCTTTTGGTGGATTCTGACTTGTTTGAGACTTTCTAAATAATGCGGATGGACTGGCAATAGGCGTTGTATAGTTAGTTTTTGAGATTTATCGTCTTAGGGTCAGTTACGTGTTGAGTTGCTGGAAGGATAACTGAGTAGCTACAGTTTGAATGGTTTTTTCGTTTTCACGTCGGTTGATGGCTTGAGGCCTTCATTGAATAAGATCAGTTGCACCCTTGATAAGAATCATTTAATGGAAAGATTTATGTGCAATCAGACTTTTTCTTTTTCTGGAGTTTTGTTTCATTCGTGTTTTGATTCTACATAATATTCTGTGCTTTTGCATGCTGCACTTCTCTGATTGCAGATTGTTCAAGGGTTTGTAAGGCCATGCCTCTAGGACACATTCATTTGAGCTTTTACAACACTGGAAACAAGTTTTCCAGTTCCTCAATTTTTGTGGAAAACGTTTTAAGAATGCATGCTTTTCTTACAGCGATTTAGTTTTTGGCAAAAGCAAAGCTCAACTCCACTTTCAATAACTGCTGAGGATACAAATATCTTTTCTATTTTCGAGAAGAGTATGTGTCCTTGGGCATGTTGGTGAATTGGTGATAGACAAATGATGCGTTGATTAGCTGCAAACATGCCACTTTTATTAATGCCTTTGGGTTTATACTCTTCTATTACTTGCTCATTTCGTCGAGGGTAATTGTGATGCTCAAGGTTAAAACTTTGGCGAACAAACAACGATACTGGCACTCAATTGGTTATATCGCATCGCTATTTTCAACTAGAAAACTTTCTCTCTAAAAAAATAAAAATAAAAATAAAAGAGTATCTACTTGAACACTCGGTTCGGGACTTGCAACTTCACCCCTCAACTCCTCTAAGACAAGTCTACTCGCAGACTTGTGGTTCATGATGTATTTTTCTTTTAAGAATCTAGCATTCCTGCTAACGATCACCTTTTGATCCTTGGAACTATAAAATAATCCACATTTCTTTATTTTGGGATAGCCTATAAACAGTCGTACTTCGAGCGCTTTTCCAATTTGCTAGTGTCCTGCACAAGAACGTGCGCAGGGCTACCCCAGATACAAATATGTGAGAGAATAGGCCTACGCACTTGCCACAAAGCAGTCAGAGTAGTCTCTACTAACTTCGATGGAACTAGGTTCAGGATATACAATGTTGTTACTAGCGCATTCCCCCGAACAAACTCGATAACTCAGAATAACTCATCATCGACCTAACCATCTCTATAGGAGTTCTCCCACTCTGCTCTACAACCCTATTCTGTTGGGGCGTGCCAGGTGAAGTCAGTTGGGATTCCATCCCAGCCTCTAATAAAGGTGACCTAAACTCTCCAAAGAGGTATTCGCCACATCGATCAGACCAAGGCAACTTGATACTCTCACCATGAAGCTTCTCCATTACTGTCCGATACTCTTTGAATTTCTTAAAGCATTCAGACTTGCGGTGCATCAGGTAGACGTACCCAAATCTCGAGTAATCACCGATGAAGGTGACAAAGTACTCAAAACCTTCTCTAGCCTGGATTGATGTAGGACCACATAAATCAGAATGAATTAATCCTAGACTATTCTCGTACCTACGTCCCTCGGCCATTCATGGTCGCTTAGCCATCTTACTTCCAGGCACGACTCGCATGTCAGATAGGTATTTTCTAGCGGACCGACATGTCCACTAGATACCAATCTTTATCTCCTAAAGTTGATGTGCCAAAGCTTAAGGTGGCAGAGATATGCTTGATTCAACTACGGAGGCTCGTTTCTCTTATTTTATTTAGTCAATATATTATTCAGTTCTTATTGTTGCATTGTTGGATAATTTGATTTGAGAACATACAAATTACCTACTAATAAACCAGAATAGATGAAACAATTCCCATAATGAATAACAACTTTGTTATTAAACTAGTAGAAATCCATCCATAACAAGTTTAGAAAGTGAAATAAAATTCTTTCTAAACTGGGAACATAAAGGCAATGTCTCAAAACCAAACAAATAAGACAACTAAAATGCAAAGTAACGTCTCCCACTGCACGTAGCGTTGCCCATGTTGAGGGTAATGTCCCTTCCTTAAGTCGTCTTGTTTCCTGGAACCCCTGCAAATAATTGAAGACATGATCAGTGGCTCCAGTGTCTACATACCGGGTACTGATAGACACAACTGCTAAAAAATATTTGATAACAAACGTGTGAGAATAACCTTCTTTGTCCTTCTTGAGGAGAGAGTAGTCGACTTTCTAATGCCCTGACTTGTTGAACTTGTGCCACTTGCCTTTCGGCTTCTTTTCCACAACCTGAGGGGCCGATAGTGGAGTGACTGCTTCCACTTGCGACATCGCCTTTCCTGCAGACTTCTTCCTCTTTCTACCCTTATTGGGCTTAAAAAAAGAAGGCCTAGCTTGCTCGGCGGCTAATACCTGAGCACTTTGACAAAACAGGCCTTCTGCCATATGAAGCTCTGCTAACAGCTCCAGAAGAGACAACAACATCTTATTCATGTTGTAGTTCAACCAGAGCTAATCGAAACTCTTCAGCAGAGACTGGAACATAATATCAACCTGCTTTTCCCAGTCGATAAAAGCCCCTAGGCCTATAGCTCGTTGAGTTGTGTCATGATCGCAAGAGCATGTTACCACATGGGAGTTCCCTCACTCATGTGCATGTTCATCAGTACCTCATGGCTTCTTATCTGGCAGCCCGTGACTGGGCCAAACAGACCATTGAGATTGAAATGTATATCTGTTGAAGTAAGCGTAGATCGATGCTGATGTTGAAGAACATTTAACATAGAAGCCAAAATGTAACACTTTGCCATTTCATCATCCTTCTTCCATTTGGCATACTCCTCTTTCTCTTGATTTGTTGCCCCCTCACCGGGAACATCCGGACAAGCCTCGGTGAGTACATACTTTGTACCATTCAACATTCAGCACTTGTCATAGTTCATTTTCCAGTCAATGTAATTTGGACCAGTAAGTTGATTATCTTTTAGAATCACAGACAACAGATTGAAAGACATGTTGATTATGTACTTAGAATCAAGAAAATATTTTACTGATTAATAACTTTTGAATTTAACTATTAATGTTGGTATTCTAAAAACAACACTAATTTAAATTCACTGACATCTCAAAACACCGAGAGTGACGTATGCTATGTTAGGCAGCTCTACGCACTCAACATTCACAAGAGAAGAGGTTTTCAAGAACCCATTAATTTTATAATCAAAAACCAAATTCATGGCGACTAAAACTAATAGTCGGTTTCCTTTTGGCCACGTAATAAAAAACCGTTGACTCCGTTAGGGAGGATAAATTTAAACCACCTTCTAAGTGAAACAAATTTCACGATCCTATGGTCATCATATAAGATTGTACGTCTCCGGTTGGCGGGACCCGCCTGCTCCACAAGAATTCCTATGATCGTCTAATTGGAATTTCATCCTAATGATTTTCTACAATTAATTTTGAGAGTGTCACTGGTTGACGGAGCCCAAACTTTGATTAAATTGATTCACTAACAAACCAGAAATGGAGGTCATAGGATTTTAAGAGTAGCTTTAATTTTAAAATTCCTTCTCAAACATAGTATAATTTTTAATTGGAGATTTTCACTTATTCAATTCTATAATTAATCATATGCCATAAATCAATAAATTAATTAACATGCATAAATAATTAATAGACATAATATCACTATCGAAAATAAGTCCACTATTATGACTATTAGATAATGAGTACCAACAGATAAGGAAACTATTATATAGGATCTTCTGATTTTCCTAATCCATAAAAAACTCCCACCGCAATAGAATTCTTGACCGAATTAGTTGCCTTGTCCAGTAAGACATTATCCACAACCGCCAGAGAGGCCGCCGCTGTCCGCCGGACGCAGCCGCTAGTCGTTGTAGAAAAATCACCGTCGGTTGTCGCACCCAAACTGCGCGTCACTCGCGCCGAGCAGTGTCACACGCGGCTGTGGGGCTGCGAGTCATGCCTGTCTTCGCATGCGGCCAGCGCTGCGCGAAAATTGCACGTCCGGCTGTTGCACGTCGCCGTGCGACCTCGCCTTGCCTGTGCTGCGCTGCACATCACCTGAGACCTTCACGCTCGGCCAGCACTGTCGACCAGGGCGTTCTCCATTGACAGCACGCTTCCGACAACCCATGCTTGGCCATGCGCGGCTGAGTCGCCACATCCACGATGGTCTGGGGTCCGACGAGTTGTCGATGTCTGTCGAACTCGGTGATCTCTAGTTGATCCGTAAACGATCACGATCAAAATAAATAAATATAATTTACATATTTCGATTCTAGACCCACAGATGGATTTACATGTCTATATAATAAAGCGATAAATCTATCTGGTGTCCCACCAAGCGATTAAATTTATTACAAACATTCAACCATCATCCTCGACATGTTCGAGGCTCTAAAAACAAGCACCAATAAATCAAACACATACGACCATAACAGTGGATTAAACTTATTCTTGCACAATTGACTTTTGCGATAATAATTCATTTTATGTCTGTTCTTGAACACATGTTGTCACAGAAGTCGTAAAATTCGAACTCTGCACAGAGTGAATTAATTGTGGGCTCCAATACCATTCGTCGAAAAATCACCTCGTTGGATGTCTCTGAGTCACCAAGAGCGTCTGTTCGGAAACCGCGGGTCTCGGTTGGTGCGGGTTGCTTGGGTCTAGATGCAACGAGCATGCGACATTCGCAGGCTGCGGTGTGCTAGCCGTGGGTCGCGGTGCGCGTGGGGCAGCAGCTTGTGGAAGAGAGTCGCGCCAGCGTGCGGTGGTCGTTGGGAGGCCTCGTCAACCTCAGAGCCTTCTACTGTATGACCCGACACCTCTCCTATTATCTTCATTGGCAAAAAGCTCGGAGACGAACTCATTGGGATGCTAGGGTCGACCGAACGTAATCTATATGTGTGGTTATGCCCAATCCCAAGAGATACATGGTGTATATATAGGGCTATAACAAGGACCTTAAATAATATGTGGGCTTCTTAAGTTTTGGGCCTAACTATGCGTCAAACCCACCCACTCCACTCAATGACTTAAATAATATTTCATTCACTAATAGAAACATTATTGCACTCCTTCATAATCATCGAATTATATTCGAGACTCCAATTATAATTACTCAAATTACCTCTCCATGTTTAAGATATAATGTCCATCAATTTAATTTGATTATTCAAAATCAAATTAATCGACATCTTTAACCAAAGCTAGTACCACTCAAACCATTATTATTATGTCGGAACTTAATCCACCTGCAAGGTTTAACATAATAATCCTTCATGAGCTACTTCGGGGACATCGTCAAACTAACGCACATGGTGACTGTAAATATTAAAACCGCACACCAT